TAGTTTGAGAATAATTGGGGTGGGTAGTCAATACAACATGTGAAGAATTTAACATTCTTTTGTTCATCAAGACAATCAAACTGTTTATTGCCACAGACCAGGACAGTGAAAAAATATTAAATATACCAGCTAACATTTATGTGTTAGATGCTTTACAGATACTGTCTCATGAATGCTTATAACAGCCCCTTAAGGTAGACATTATTATTATCCCCATATTATAAATGAGCAAAATGAGTCATAATCAGATTAAGCAACTTGCTCAAGGATAATATTGTTAGTGAGTTAGTGGAGCTGGGTTTCAAACCCAAGGCTGTCTGGTTCCGAAACTCAAGGCATAAGGCACTGACAGACTGCTCTAGGGAGATTTTCTATTCTGTACATGTTTGGCATGCTACATAAAATGTCTCCACACTCCCTGTGCATGATCTAGCTCCTTATACTCTGGCCAGTAAAACCCGGGAACATTTATTGAGCCTCTATTATATGCCAGACTTTTACATTTATTGTACCCACTTTGCAGACTGGAAAACTAAAGCACAAGGAGATTATGTAATTTACCCAAAGTCACAAATGTAGTCATCTTTAAACCCAGGCTACCTGATGCGTTTGGCCACTGCCTCTTCCCAAGGAGTTTGTTCCTGGAGAGAGGATCTGAACCTACATGGAAGGCCACCTGAATGGTAGGAGGGTCCCAAGGGCTGCTGCTTCACCAAACCAGGCCCTACCTCGGGGTCAAGTGATGGCAAACACATTGAGATTGGCAGGTTATTCCAGCCACAGGTAACGTCAGTAGGCCACAAGCCCATGGAGGACCAAGCCAAGCACAGAGATGTGCACAAGACTAATATCCTGAGTAAATCCTGTTTCCTTCGGGTTCTCCTTTGTCACCTCTTTGGAGAGGCTGTCCCTGATGACCCTAGCTAAAGCGGCACCCCCTCCCTTGTGCCACCTGCTATCCCATCAGTCTTTAGCATTTGTAACTCTTGGTTAGTATCATTTATCATTTATATGTTTGTATCCCCTTTGCTTAGAATATGGGGCACATAGTAGGCATTCAATAAATATTTGATGAATGAATGATTGAATAAATTAGTTAGTTAATTATACTTTAGTTTGCATTTGCACCTGAGGAAAACTATAAGCTTTTGGCAAATACACAGGTTTCTCTTGAGCTTAAGCATCTGGACAATAGAAGGGCTAAGAGGCAAACTGACAAGATGGCATGGGAAAACAACAATAGGATTAAGGCAAGTGGGCCAGACCTAGCCACTTTTTAAAAGTCCCTGTGTTGGCATGGTGGCCTTCTTCTAGTCCCATGGGAGGTGCCACGATGCACTGCAGAGCAATTAAGTAAGCAACCAGAAGCTTGAGCTAGAAGTTCCCACTTAGTCAGAAGCTGCAAGGGAAAGGAAAGGGGCAGTGGTGGGAGGACTCCCTGGAAGAGGGCAATAGGGAGGAAGTGCAGTCCAGGGAGCACCCAGGGTGGGGCGGGGTGGGGGAGGGCCCATGGTCCTCACCTCCTGGTTCATTATTCCCATCAGCAGTAGTGGGGGCTCCCAAAGGCCCAAGCTCTCCTCCGCCTTCCGGTGTGGGCAGCAGCAGGAGGAACGTCATGTGTGCCTAGTTCCTTTCGGAAATCTGTGCCCCACTGAGAATCATTCCATTTCGATTTGAAATTCAAAAAAATAATAATAAAAGTTAAACACAACAGAGGTTCTCTGATGCAGATGAGAGTCATCCATTGCTCATTTTTGTCTTCCTAGAAAGAACAAAAACCAAACATGATCTTTCCCTGTTTTGGGGAACATTTTTGTAGGCTGGCTTTGCTCGCTCTCTTTTGAATACCTTGAGCAGAATACCCCTCATGTTGTTAATGACTTCAAAGATACCGGGTCCACTGTGCGGCAAGTGATAAAAATGTACACAGCATGTGTTGGATAAATTAATAAACTCTCCAGAGCCTCCAAGTCCTCGGGCCCAGCAGCACCGTAATGAAATGTTATTCTGAAGTGGAGGAGGTAGGAAGGAGAAAAAGGGGAGCAGTATTTAATATATGCAAATTATCTAGTATGCAAATTGCCACTAAGTTAAAAATAACGGACTGCGAAAGGAGCCCATTTTTTAAGCAGCTTGTTTATTCATTAGCCTAATTCCCATTATCAATCCTTCTGTTTTCTTCTTTATTAAGTACTCACATTTGGGGAAGTTTGCTTCCTACGAATTGTTTTGCTCCAAAACCCATAACAATGGTTAGAACAATCACCATACATTAGCTTTTCTCCATCTCATTCTTGATTTTGCCCCTATCCTGAAATTCTCTTTCTTTCTTGCTGTCCCTTTCCTTTTGCCTTTCCTCCCTTAACTCCTGTCATCCTCACTGGCCTTGTTTCTCTGGCACCTTCTGTCTCTCCGATGCATGAGGCTCCAGGCAAGCAGGCAGTGTGGGGCAGGGGCACAGGAAGCCTCCTGTCTCAAAAAGGCTGACACCAGGGACCCCTTCTCCCAACCACTGGCCCCACGGGCTGGAATCGCAGATACAAAAGGCACCAGAAGCTGGCTCCCCATTACCTTGGGGCGTGGACGACCATCTGCCCCAGCCAGTAGCATCAGACCAGCCAGAACAATGCACATCCCGATTCGGGTCTGTATATGGCCTCCACTGCCTCAAGACAGACCTTACACAATGTTAAGACAAACTGGCAGCCAAAATCCTCCTCTTTTGTCTCAAGAAGCCTCCACCTTGTTATGTGCAAGCTCTGGTGCCCCCTAGAGGCTGAGAGCGGTACAGCGCGCTGGGCTGGTCGTAGGGAAGGCAGAGCAGGAGGAAGGCGCAGGGAGGGTTCTCCCACACAAAGCCCCTGGCCGAGGGGTCTGGAGGGCATATCCAGAAAGCGTGGGCACCCATGAGCAGCTGGGGCGGGGGCCGAAGGTAGAGGCTTTGCTGATGGTGCGCATGAGCTTGCGGGGCTGTTTTTTTGTGTTCACTGTTGTCATTTTTCACGCGGTTTTAATCACATAGTTATTACAAAGCATCAAGATCATTTTTACCATGCGCTTCCCTGTACAGGGTGCTTGGCTGTGGCTGGCAGAGCTGTTTGTGCAGACGTGCCCCGTGGAGTGTGCAGTCTGAGACACACAAGCACGCACCCTGAGGCTCAGAGTCTCTCTGTGCCCTGGAGAAGCTGTGGTTGAGGCCCAGGGTACAGAATCTCAAGGCCGGCCCTGCCGGGAGCCTTTACTCCATGTCAGGCTGTGCTGCCAATGTGAACACATATTCCCGGAGCAAAAAACACTAATTCCCACTCTTTCCGGAGCCCCCACTTGCTAGTGCTTAGAATTCTCCTGGGAGACCCAGAGCAGGAACATTTTTCAGATCTCAGCTCGGGGCCAGAGTTTTGTCATCCCCTTGCTGAAGCACCTATTACTCTAGGGCAGTGATGTCAAATGTGAAAGGTCACACCCAGGTGGCCACTTGGCATCATCCAGAGACCAGGGACAGCTGGAGAATGAATTTGCATCAGCTCCTGAACCTCCAGCCCGCACTGCAATCTCCCATTGCTCTTAAGGACTACAAATGGTGTCAAAAGGCTAAAGACCTCAAAGAGGCAGGCAACATCAGAAACAGTCACTGACACTGAGCTTGAGATGGAGCCAGAAAAATAAATCATTATCATTTAAGCCCTGCACATTTTTATACATACTGTCTTTGCAATATTTCCATAGAATGAGCAAATAAATCACCCCGCTCTTGACATTTTTAATAACTTTAAGAATGTGGTTAGGGTAATACTTAACTTTATTGACATATTGTATGGTTCATCCATCTCATCAAACCTCAATGAAACTTCAATGAATATTAACCGAGGACCCATAATGTACTAGGCACTGCCTGGAGAATCCCCCAAGCAGTCCCTGTCCCCCTCCAGGAGCTCTAACTCATCGGCTTGACTCCTGTCTGTGGGAATCAATAGCCCACGGGGCAAGACTAGATGGAATCTCGTTCAGATTCTAGCTGGAGGATCCAGCTCCCTGGGTTTGGACGCTGGATGCTTGAGAGTGTTCTCAGGGTCAGGAGCCTCCCTGGTTCTTTAGAGACAGACCTGATGAATGGAAAGAAGAGAGGACAGAATGCCACTGAGTAGCCAAACCCCAAAGACAGTAGATGCAGCCCCAATACTTCATTCTGGGACATGATCCTGCCTGGTCCCTGATTTCCTGGAACACGACTCAGAGGCCCAGAGTAGGACCTTAAACTCACCAGTCACACAGCTCTTTCATAGCAGAGCTAGAAGTAAAAACCAAGTGTCTTAATTTTTAAGCCAACACCGTTTTCTGTGGTAAATGATAACGGTGGCATATTTTACAAAGGGGTAGGGGAGTTTTAAAAAAGGAGGTCAAATAATTCAAGGAATAATAATGATAATATTTGACCCATTTCTCAAACACTACCTCTAGGAGACACTCTTTAGCACCCTGGATTCTCAAACGCACAAGTTTTTTCTCTTACCCCAGGACTTTTTTGAGATGTTGCCTTCACAAAAATACTGTGACCTTCAACGCTCTTCTTTTAGCCGTTCTCATTCATTCTTCAGATCTCAATTTGGACATCACTCCAAGAAGCTTTTCCTGATTCCTCAAATCTGCTATCTGTTTGCAAGGCTCGCAGCCCCCATCCCACATTCTCCATCACAGCCCCTGTCCCAGCCCCCTGTAATTGTGTTTTACTTGAATGCCTTCTCCAATCTTCTATGAACCTCTGGAGGTCAGGGACTATATCTTTCTCGCTCCCTCAAAATTGTCTCCATAGACCCTAAAGTTAATAACTCTAAGAATGCGATTAAGGTAATACTCAACTTTATTGATATAGTGTATGGTTCATCCATCTCATCAAAACTCAATTAAATCTCAGTGACCATTAAACCAGGGCCCGAAATGTCCCAGGCAGTGGTGCCTGGCATAGAGTAGATGCTCAATAAATATTTTAGAATGTATAAATGAAGAGTGGACCATACGCCTCATCAGGGGAAAAAATGTCATTAGCCATTCCTGTCACAGAGGGATCCAATTTCTCCCTCCTCCTGAACACATCCTTGGCTGCTAATCTGAGCATTCCAGAGTGAGACTTAAACTGCCTGAGAAAACATATTATAGGCTATGTAAAGATAAGAGAAAGGTACACACATTTAAATATGGCCCTTCTTATTTATGGGTGCAAACTTTACACTCGGAAGACATATCTTCTTTATAGCAAAAACCAAGGAAACAAATATTGGACAGAGAAAGAATTTTGCAGCAAACATAGCGGAAATGCTTTAATATCTCTGCTACATAAAGAATTCATACAAATTGATTTTTTAAAATTCAAGACCTCAGTAGATAAGTAGACAAAGAACATGAACAGAAAATGCATATAAGGGGAGGCTTAACTGGTAAGTAAAAGTACAGAAACATAGCCAACCTTGTCAATTAAGACAGTTGGGAGGTATAGGACCCAAGTGCAGGATGAGAAAAGGTCAGTCGCCCCCCTGGCCCAACCTCCCTCCCTCACCGCAGGACTTAACTTGCTGTGTCTGCTGTGGTTCGATGTGCCAGGCGAGGCGGGTTTGAGTAAGAGCCCTCAGGTCCCTAGGAGGCTAGGAGAGATGCAGGGGGCAACACAGTGAGCAAGGCCAAGAGGTGAATGCTGAGCTGGCAGCCAATGGGGCGGAGGGAGGCCATGCAACAGCAAGAAAAGGGGTAGAATGGCTCACAGGCAGCTTCGCTCATTAGAGGATGCAGTGCCAAAGGTGGCTAGCACAGTGCCTAACACATGGTAAACGCTAGAAAACTGTGAAGCTGGAAATACAGGCTTGCAAACGGAGAAGAAAGAATCAAAAGGGAAATAAATAAATGTTTGGAAACAAGGTGATCTATTTAAATAGGACACAATCCCAGGGGCTTTATGATTTGCTGTCAGCTTCTGGTTTGGCTTCTTCCGCAACCAGCTGCCATGCAGGGTTCCCTCAGGTGCACCCACCAGAAGGGAAAGGAGACCCATTAATGCTTCATGCCGGCATGGCTCACAGGTGCCTGGGAAGTTCAGAAATGTTTCTGAAAAACAAAACAATAACGAAAATATGATTTAACCTATTAAACTTTCAGAAGCTAAAAATAAAAATACATTATGCAGTATACCTTAAACTTATACAGTGATGTGTGTCAATTCTATCTCACTAAAACTGGAAAAAAATAAAAATAATATCCAGTGTCAAGCTTGGTACAGTAGAAATATAAGTATGGCATTTTTGGAAAGCAGTCCAGCAGTATTTATCAAGCACCATGTATCAATTAGTCATCGTGGCAATAACGTTGTGTAACAAATGACCTCAAAAATCTCAGAAATGAAGGTCCCCAGGGGTCCAAGGTGGCAAGTGTATTATAGCCTAAAGCATCCCATGACTGTCAAGAGGGAGCACTGAGCTCCAAAAACAGTTCCTCATCTTGTTGATTGTTGAACCCTGCCTGCTTGCAAAAATCACCGAGGTCCTAAGGTCCAATAGTTCATTTTGTGGAGGGTCACATATGGGACTGTCGACCCAGGCAAAGAAGATAATGCAGTGGAGTGGGATCTAGAGCAAGCAAGAAGGGGAGGCAATCCACTTGATGGGCTCCTTTCCCTAGCTCAAAAGTCATTGCAGAGACTTCAACTGACTTCTCGAAATTGTACATTAAAACCTTGTTGAAAGAAAGCTTATGGGGTGATAAAAATGTCCAACATCTTGAACAGAGTCAAACAGTTTTGTACATCCATCAATTTAAATGATCACTTAAAATGTGTGCATTTTATAGTATGTGACTTATTCCCCAACGAAGTTGATTTAAAAATAAAACCTGTTGAGAATCATCTTACTATAATATTTAAATTTGTATAGAAAACTGATTTCATCTGGAAACAGACTGATAAAATTAAGCGAATAAAAAACTATTTATAGTTCTTTCACTTCTGGCCAAGATGGGATAACAGGGGCTGGGTTTCACCTCCTGTCTGAAATAAATGATATATATATTTTTTTAATAAATGATATTTTTAAAGACAAAAAAAATGAAAGAAGAGTTTTCAAGACATTGGATGTCAGACACTGATGCCTGAGGAATGGGAAGCAAATGTTACGATTGTCCCAGCTTATTGCCTTAAAAAGGTTTCCAGACCATGGAGAAAGAAGGGGGAAACCAGGCAGAGCCCAGTGAACTTCTTGAGTTTAGAGCTTCCAGAGCTAAGAGCCTGGGGACCTCAATGACATTTATAGAATACTCTCCATTCAAAGACAGCAGAATACACATTCTTTTCAAGTGTACATGAAACATACATAAAACAATTCTCAAATTATGTCTGGTGCATAAGATAGTCTCAAATTTAAATGAATTGAATTTATACAGTGTATATTTTCTGGCCAAAATGGAATTAAATTATAAATCAACAGCAGAACTCTAAAAATTTATCAAATATTTAAAAAATAAAAAACATACTTCCAAATAACCCATGGGTCAAAGAAGAAATCAAAAGGGTGATTAGAAAGTATTTGGAAATGGAGGGGTGCCTGGGTTGCTCAGTTAGTTAAGCGACTGCCTTCAGCTCAGGTCATGATCCTGGAGTTCTGGGATTGAGTCCCGCATTGGACTCCCTGCTTGGCAGGGAGTCTGCTTCTCCCTCTGACCCTCCCCCCTTCTCATGCTTTCTCTCTCTCTCTCTCTCATTCTCTCTCTCAAATAAATAAAATCTTAAAAAAAAAAAAAAGAAAGTATTTGGAACTGGAAACATGTGAAAACACAGCATAGCAAAATTTGTGGGATGCTGCTAAAGTTGTACATAGGGGGAAATTTATAGTACCAAATGCCTATATTAGAAAAAAAGAAATGTCTCAACTCTGTGACCTCAACCTCCACCCTAGGAAGCTACAAAAATATAAAGACATAAAACCCAATGTAAGCAGAAGAACAGAAATAATAATGATCAGAGTAAATATCAATGGAAAAAGAAACCAAACTCAACATAGAAAAAAATCAATGAAACTGAAAGCTGGTTTTTTGAGACCTATAAACCTCTAGCCAGAGTAATCAATAGAGAGAGAGGGAGAAGATACAAATCAGCAATAACAGGAATGAGAGAGTTAAAAATCAGTATGCATTCTAGAGATATTAAAAAGATCATAGGGAATATTATGAACACCTTTATAACAATAAATTTGACAAGTGAAATAAAGTGGACAAATTCCTTGCATGACAGAAATTGCCAAAATTCACTCACGAAAAAATAACCTGAATAGTCCCATGTATTATTAAAGTATTTAATTTGTAGTTAAAAACTTTCCCTTGGGCGCCTGGGTGGCTCAGTTGGTTAAGCGACTGCCTTCAGCTCAGGTCATGATCCTGGAGTCCCTGGATCGAGTCCCGCATCGGGCTCC